CAACACAACCAATCGACTTAACCTCATAGACATACACAGAACACTCAACCCAGCAACAGCACAACAGACATTCTTTTACAGTGTACATGGAATATTCTTCAGAACAGAAAATATGTTAGACCACAAAGCAAAACTGAATAAATTAAAAACACTGAAATATTACAAAGCATCTTCTGATATCACAGTGCTATAAAATTAGAAATCAACAAATGGAAACTGAATAACACCCTGCTTAAAAGCTACTGGATAATATAAGAAATTAAAAATGAAATTAGAAAAAAATTCTTGTAAAAATGAGAACAAAAACACAACGTACCAAAACCTTTGGGGCACAGCTAAAGCAGTGCAGAAATAAATGAAATAAAAAACAGAAAAACAATAGAAGGAATCAACAAGATTAGAAGTTGGTTCTTTGGAAGTATTAACAAAATCCACAAGCCATTGGCAGAGCTAACAAAAGAAAAGGAGAAGATGCAAATAATGCGAATAAAAATTTATATGACCTACATTATAACAAAACCAGTAGAAATAAAAAGGATAACAACACAACATTACAAAGAAATGTACTCCAACAAATTTGAAAATCTAAAAGAAATGGACAAATTCTTAGAAAACCTACCTAAACTAACATAGATGGAAATAGAAAACTTGGAGACAGACTATAGCAAAAGACATTGATCAAGTTATTAAAGGACTCCCAAATTTAAAAAGGTCAGGCATAGATGGCTTTACTGGTGAATTTTACCAAACATTCAGAGAGTAGCTGACACCAATTCTACTCAACTGTTCCACAATATAGAAAAGGAAGGAAAACGCCTAAATTCATTTTATGAAGCAAGCATAATCCTGATACCCAAACCAGGTAAAGACATCATTGAAAAAGGAAATTATAAATCAAATATCCCTCATGAGTATAAATGTAAAAATTCTCAACAAAATCCTAGGCAACAGAATCCAACAACATATCAAAAATTATGACCAAGTGTGATTTATACCAGGTATGCAGGGATGATTCAATATTCGAAAAACAATTAATGTAATCAACAATATAAATAAAACAAAGGGGGGAGAAAAACCATGATCAAATCAATTGATGCAGAAAAGGCATTCGACAAAATCCAACATCCTTTCTTGATAAAAGGCACTCAACAACATAAGAAAAGATGGGAAAATTTTCAACATAATTACGGGCATATATACAAAACCAACAGCCAACATCACTGTGAATGGACAGAAACTGAAAGCATTCCCCTTGAGAGCAGGAACCACACACAAGGATGCCTTTTATTGCCACTCCTATTCAACATTGCGCTGAAAGTCTGGGTCAGAGTTTTAAGAGAAATTAAAGGCATCCACAACTGTACAGGGTCGCTATGGGTCGGACCCGACTCGACGGCACTTAACAACAACAACAACAACAACTGGCAAAGAAGTAAAACTCTACTTGCAGATGATATGTTCCTGTATAGAAATTCCTAAAGACTCAGCAAGAAGTTCATTGGAACTCATAATAGAAAGATTCAGCAAAGTGAAAGGGTACAAGGCCAACAGACAAAAATCAGTTGGAGTCCTTTACATTAATAAAGAGAACTCTGGAAGAAAATCAAGAAAATAATACCATTTACAATAGCTACCCAAAAGATAAAATGTTTAGGAATAAATACAACCAGAGAAACAAAAGACCTTTATAAAAAACACTACAAAACCCTACTATTAGAAACCAAAATAGAACTATAAACACGGAATAAACCATGCTCATGGATAAAATGACTTAACATTGTGAAAATGGCAATAGTACCCAAGGCAATCTATAGATATAATGCAATCCCAATCCAGATTCCAATATAATATTTGAATGAGATGGAAAAACTGATCACTAACTTTATAGTGCAGCGCTGTGGGCTAATGTGCTGGATTACAAGATCGGTGGTTCAAGCTCACCAGCAGCTCCTTGGAAACCCTATACAGGCTAACTATGAGTCAGACCGACTTGACGGCATTGAACAGCAACAACATGTTCATTATAGCACTATTCACAACAGCAAAAAAGATGGAGACAGCCTAAATGCCCATCAACAAAAGAATGGTTAAACAAACTGGTACATACATACAGCGGGAGACTACTCAATGTTGAATATTGACGAATCTGTGAAACATCTCACAACATGGATGAACCTGGAAGACAGTATTCTAAGTGAAACTAATTGATTACAAAAGGACAGATATTGTATGAGACCACTGTTGTAAAAAGTTAAAATTTTCTTGATAATGTTGATTATCAGGGGTGCGAGGGAAGCAAAATTATTCACTGGGTTTTTGTTAAGTGCCGTTGGGTCGATTCCGACCCATAGTGACACTGTATAGGGTTTCCGAGGAGAGCTGGTGAGTTTGAACTGCTGGCCTTGAAATTCAAATGGCTTTGCAGTCTGGCGCATTAACCCACCATGCCTTACCAGGACTCCATTTACTGGGTAGTGGGTAGATATATGTTAACGTGGGTGACAGAGCAGGCAATATACAACAAGGACAAAGGTTGTCAGAGGAAAGATGAAGGTAGCGGAAGACACAGGAAGGAATGAAAGAATTAACATGAATAGAGGTAAATATTGTTAACTAATGGTACAGGGAGAAAGATGAGGCTTTCTACTCCCGTAAGGATTTACACCCTCGGAAACCCTGTACAGGGTCGCTATGGGTCGGACCCGACTCGACGGCACTTAACAACAACAACAACAATGGTACAGGGAGGGATTGAAATCATTGTAATGAAACGAAGTATATGAGTTCCTGAATGTGGCACTGATCATCTGTTTTGTAAGCCTTCATTCAGTTTACAATAAAAAGTTTAAAAAAGAAATAGGAAACTAATTTTAGAATATATTTTATTTAACCTAAAATATCACTTCCACGCGTGACTCTAAGCAGTGTTCAGATACTCAAAGGCCATGTGTGGTTTTAGTTATCATAATGGACACTGCCATGCTGAACCATGGAATTTAATAATGAGAGTGTGGTTTCTAAGTGTTTAACATGTCAAATAATTGTTTCTTGAATGACAGTTAAATGATCTTAAAGAACAATGCCTTAAAACCTGGATTTGATTCTCATCCCTCTACATGAACTTAAGTTACATCATCTTTTTGAGACTCAGTTTGCTCACCTGTAAAAATGAGCAAAAAAAATATCATTCTAACAAGACTATTTTGAAGATTAAATAATTGAGTCCCTTAGCACGAACTCAGCAAAAATAGCAGCTCCCTTGGCTTCCCCATTCCTTCAGTCATTACATTTTTAATTGCATTCTCCTAAAGAAATTGTTCAGGGTCCAAATCTTATCCTTTTGTGGCTTTAATTCTTCCCCCAACACAAGCCTACAACCTATGCCACACTTTCGTCACATTCAGACACCTGAGGAGCAGATGCGCCAAATCTGACCTTCTCTTCCTTTTGCTCTTCATTCATTCAATAGGCCTGCTTCCTGGTTTTCTGGCTTTTCATCCTATATATTCCCAACACAACTACTGGGATCCAATCAGTGACCCAGCCCCAGCACTCTTGTGTTTGGATACAGAACCCAAAATATCCCTCATAAGCCCATCTGTAAACAACACTTTAAACCCCATATTCTACAGAAGATCTAGTCTGTTATTTACCAGCTCTGAATTCTAGTCCTTGGTCTTAATAAGAGGCAACAAGACTATATGCTAAGATTTGCTATGTACAATGAACGTGGCACACAATCATATGGTGTCCTTGTGAGTTTTTTCCTTGATTAGCCCTTATCTTCCATCTAAAAATTGTCATCACAGACAACACAGCACATCACAGTCTACTGAGTTAGGACCTTGGGTGATGGTAACAGTTTGCACTGGATTATTCACCTAAATGTTAGTGACTGGAACCCACCCGAGTCCTGATGGTCTGCTTCTGTAAAGTTTGTTGTTGCTGCTGTTAAGTGCCCTCGAGTCGGTTCCGACCCATAACGACAACTGAGAAAACCCAGTGGAGGAGTTCTATTCTGCAACATGTGAGGTCACCGCGATTCAAAATCGGCCCAAAGGCAATGTGTTTATTTTTATCTACTGTGGTGGTGATAGTGGTGGTTGTGTGCCGTGGAGTCGGTCCCGACTGTGGTAACATTTAATACTTTTACATATGAGCCTGTTCCTGCAATTGTGATTAGAAGACCGTTGAACAAGGGGTAAGGTCCAGGTAAACCTCCCAGGATTTATTGTATCCACTGCTGTGTCTTCCATAGTGGCGGTTCTGAACAGGACCCGACAAATTGTACGGCAAGCAACATCCCCCTTAGCCTCCTACCACCACCCAGGACTTGGCAACCAACTACCCTATTTTCAGACCTGCGGGGGTCTCTTCTATTCAACAATTATTACAGCTGAGTTGAGCTGGCACAGAAAACGCTGTCCTGGTTTACTACCCGTCACAGCCCAACCCCAGACCATGAAACTGAATCACAGTTCTACATCAACTAACTGTCTTCTGCCCCAGGGTCCTTTCCAGGGCACATTGCAAGGGGACAAACCTTCTTTGGTGTCTTGAAAATTCAGATGCATCAAGATGCCAAGTGACGATTTTCCAAATGTTATTTAATGCCGTTGAGTCGGTTCCGACCAATAGCAATCCTATATAGGGTTTTCGAGGAGCAGTTGCTGAGCTTGAACCGCCGACCATGAGCCTCAAACCGATTTTGCTGTCCAGCGCATTAGCCCGCAGCGCCACACACAGACTCCAGAACATAAATACTTATTTATGACTGGTGGGCGGAGTATATTCTGGGCGGTGCAGTGAATTTCGATAAGGGTAGAGAGAAGAAGGTTGGGAGAAGACAGTTGGGAGACCCGCTTTCCTTCTTTCTTTCAAAATCCAACCTATCTCCTCAGGTGGGTACCCGCCCACCTTGAGGGACTTTGGCTGAGGGCCCAGTTGGGCCGGGTTTGGGGGAAACAGAGAGCGGCAGCATCCCGCACAGGAGCGCTTACCACCAGCACCACTTTGGGAGTGGGACCCTTGACTTCCCGAGGCACGATGCCAAATCGCTGACTATACATCTTCGAATCCCCTCGGTGTCTACCACTTGAGGGATATGCTGCAGTGACGCGGCCCTATGGTTACCATGGCGCGCCTCCTGGTGGTAGTGGGGGCAGTGAGGAGGCCGGAAGTTGATTGCATCACCATGGGGACCATAGACGCCAGCACTCGCGACTTCCTCTTGGAGGCGATTGGCTGAGTTTGCGGGGTCCTCACCTGGTCCTTTTGCCTGGCCCTGACGTAGCTCCCTTCCTCCCTGGTCCACCCACAGTAGCAGAAAAAAGGCCCGTAACTTGAAGAGAAGGTCAAAGTCGAATCACGATTCCAATCGACTTTGCTATTTATATCCTATAATTGGTCTAAACGCATGAAAAAAGTTAATTAGCAATTTTGAGGGAAGTCACATTTAAATGTTGTGACTTATCTGTAACTTAAATCTTGATGCCAGTAATAATTATCACAGGACAACCTTATATTTTTGTAGTTCTTTACAGTATACAAATGATTTTCATACATAAAAGCTTCACATATACCTTAGAGGGTTTCTTGAACAGGTCTTATCCTCATTTTACAGAGAAGGCAAGGTGCCTTGAGCCCACTCCACCCGTAGTATAAAATGTTATAATCTATCTGCTGCAGTGGGCAGAAACCAGGGGTTAGATTAGGGGTAGCCTAGGATGAGGACAAATCAAATGAGCTAATGGGGCAGGCACACGACCAGGCACAATAAAGGCCAGGAGTCTGAAAGCCAAGGGTGACACTGGGCCAAGATCAGGAAGCAGTTCAGAAGTCCAGATAATGGAAGGATACAGGCAACAGAGATGAGGGAACTCAGACCTGGTCCTTAACAAAGGTGGGGCCACCGCAGGGCCGGGGAGTGCAGCTGTATTTTCAGTCAAGAGTAACGTGGCAGTTAATACCTAAAGGCCAATTAAGAATGAGTTTGGTACTCTCATTCTAAAGTAGGGGCAAGCATAGAACACCAGAGCACAGGAAACAACTACTGACGTGAAATAATAACAACTGATTTGTATACCCACTTAAAGCTGCAATTTACTGTAAATTCGCATTCCTTAATCATTTGTAATCCATCCACTTCAGATTTATGTGGTACGTTTCTGGATTTGAATTCCATTTCCCGAACTACTCGTTCCATTTCTGAGCCATAAAATGTCTTCTAAGAATCGCTCTTAATAATACTCTCATTTTGTCTTTTCCTATTATGCTTCTTCTTTCAACTGCAGTTCGGTAAAACACTCATTTTCATTTACTGCTAAAAGTTTGCGTAGCCTGAAACAAACAAGAGAGAAGACAGTTAGGTTGTCGTCTTGGACGCTTCCGATTCTCCTGTTGGGCGGTTCCTCCATTTTTCAGCCGCTGGTTGGTCGCGGCGGAACCATTCTCCTCCCCACCTACCCCGCGCCACCCCTGGGGCACGAGAGGCAACAACACTGCTTTAGACCCAGAGCAGAGAGTACGCGGAGATTTGGAATTCAGTTTGTACAGCTCAGACGGACCCGTCGGTATGAGTTCTTGGGGACGACACCCAGTAGCCCTAGGATGCCACAGCATCCATCCCAAGCTCGTGCCCGGCCTCACTGTGGGCGTACTTCCGGCAACTGAATTGCAGCGCCGGTCTTAATGGTACTTGGATTGTCGCTTTTCCTTCGGGCCGGCTCCGGGACAAAGGTCACAGTCACATGGACGCCACACGCCCAGGGACCCACAAGACTTTTAGACTTGAGTTGGGAGCTTCCGTGTCTTCCTGGCAACCTAGGGTAGGATCACTGGCGAGTGGGATCCCGGGTTGCTGCTATGGAAACCCCCTGGCGGGTTCATCCGGAAATGGCATGGGCTGGCGCTGGGCGGGGCTAGCACCTGTCGAGTGAGCGGTGAGCCTCAGCCAACCTCTTCCGAGGTCAACGTCCTTTGGCAAATGAGAAGGTCTGTACAGAACCTGACCTTGATCTCGCCACCCACTAGCTCAGATCTTACGAGGCAGACAACACTGTTGTCACCAAGACCCACTCAAAACAAAACCCTAAATACATGCACCAGTAAAGTGGGCAATAAAAAGTACTAAAAATAAGGCAGCTAAAGACAGAAATGGTATATATAAATGGTTTCCATCCCTTAACTGTTCTCAGCAAGGCTCACACAAATGACCAGTCCTCCTGGTTATTTCCTGAATTCTGTGTTTTTCCCATTAAATTTTATAAAAAAGTTGGAAACCCATTAATCATTTGTAGTCCATATCGACTCAATAAAATTACATGGGTCATATCTTTTATTTTTGTATCCCAGTATTAAGTACAGTATCTACCATGATCCAGGTTCCCAATACTTGAATGACACAACCAACCAGACCAGCAAGATTTTTCTCCGTGGGCTTGACGGATTTCTGCACTTGCTGCAACCACTATGAAGTCCTTGGTCTTCAGGCTTGCATTTGCAGCCATGCAGTTTTAACAAGTTATTCTTAGGTGAGTGGTGTGACCCTTAGGAGCGGATTCATGGCATAGTGCCTTGGTAACGTGTCACCTTGGTTAGGCTACATTTTCAGAATTCCCTTCCCTGAATGTTTCCAGTTAGGAGGGACCATGAAGAGAAACTTCGACAACTGGTGGGCAGAAATGGCGCAGCAGTATGTAGTTTTACACTTGGAAGGCTGGTACAGGACACCAGGTGCTGCTGGGGTTCACACAGGTGCTTTTATCTGCTGGCTCAACTTGGTGGCCTGGGGCAGCAGCCAGGCCTGGAGCCAGGCCTGCAGCTGCTCCACTTTCCCTGGACTTTCCTTCTCATTCTCTAATTCCTGGGCCGAGTATACAGTTAAGTCTGTGATGAAGGGCACCAGCTGCTTCTGCAGAACACCCACATCATCGAAGCTGGACGTGGTGGACGACAGATATGGGTTCCAGGCTATCCTCGTGGGCTCCAGCTCCTGCCCGTGGGCTCCAGCTCCTGCCCGTGGGCTCCAGTATGTCCTCGCTTGCCCACACTTTACAGCCATCTTCCCTTCCCGACTGCCTGCCCTGCAGACTTCAAGCTCCAGCATTAGACGCAAAGACAACAGCCTTACAGAGACTGTTCAACCAGTTCCCCTATTGCACATGGTCAGATCCCTTCAAATATACATACATACGTACATACACACACACACATATGTATGTGTATATATGGAGTTCTGCTGTTCTGATTGATTGTACCTTGACTGATATACATGGGAACAAGACTCACATTCATGAGTCAGAATAATCAAACACATTGTACTTAGAACATCACTGTCAAAATTACCTGAATACCAGTGTTGGGTGGTCAGATCCTTGGGTGAGCAAAGCAATGTTAAATTATCCAGAGTCTAAGCTTGGGATGAACTAGGGAAGGCAAGGCAGAGAAAAAGGGCAGAGGGCAGGGGCGAGGACTGTATCGCGTGAACTCAAATAGGAAAATGGCTGATCCACACCTGAGTCATCTAACACTGCAGAGCTGAAGCTAGGGTAAGGCAGGAAGGTGCCTAGGGTACAGGATCTGAGGCAGCACTCACTACAAATTACAGGTCTCATCTTTCTGGCATTTTAGGAATGAAGAGCTTGAGAGAGTGAGGCAAGGCAGAGCCAAGACTGGCCCTTGGGCAGGACTCGAAGCAGGAAATCAAGCCTTCTAGTAAACAGATAGGCTGCAAACAAAAACCAAGCACAAAGGTAGTTAGGGGCAGAGTGGTCAAGTTGTGGGGAAAGAGGATCCAGGCTGGCAGTTTCAGCTCTGAAGACAAATGTGACTAAGGAGGGAAGTGAGAGTGACAAGCAAAATGGGGGACAGCCAGCACGAGGGATGCCCTTGTGGGCTTGAAGAATCTTGTGCAGCACCACAGCGTGGGAAGGACCTAGTCTCTGGATGACTAGGGAACGGCCTGCAGGTGCTCCGACAAGGTGACCACATCCACATACTGTCTTACCAATTTCTACAACTGTGCTAGAGGCAGGCATGCAATGCTTATTGCAGATTAATCCACTTCAGGTTTTCAAGGCCACTGACAACTTGAGTCCCTGTAACACTGCTGTTACACATGACTGTGTACAGAATTACAATGTTGTTTAGCAGCTTAAAGAACAAGGTCTTTACAGCCTGGGTTTAATTCTAGCCTCGACCTGGACACGTATTTTCTCTTTTGTAGTTCCCATTTTCTCATCCATAAAATGGGCAAAATCAATGTCTTACTAAAGAGATAGTTTTGAAGATGAAATAAATTGGGTCCACAGGAGAAACTCATCAAACAGCAATTCCTGTCTTACTCACGTTACAGTTTCAACTGTTGTCCAAGGAAGTATTTAATACACTGCCCAGTCTAATAGAAGCCATTTTAAATTACTGACAAGGATGATGTGTCAGGATTGTTTTGTGGAGGCTTTATTTCTATCCCTCTCCTCCATCCCTAACACCTACACTTCAGATCAGACTCAGAGCCCTAGCTCAAAATAGGTGCACACCTTTCTACTCTCTTTCCCACTAACTGCCTCCACAAGTTCACAGCACTGAAGAAAGCTGACCCTATGGTCTGGTGGCACAGTAGGTAAGCATGGGGCTGCTAACCAAAGGATCAGTGGTTCAGACCCACCTGTGATCCCTAGGAGAAAGATGAGGCAGTCTGTCTGTCTAGACTGAAACCTGGGGAGCAGTTATACTCTGTTCTACAGCTCTCACTCCGAGTCAGAACTGACTCGATGGCAGTGCATTTTCAAACATTTCTTGACTCCTAAAGAGCTCCGAGAGTGTAGTGGGTTCCAAGTTGGGCTATCAACTTCAAGGTCAGCAGTCTGAAACCACCTGCCTGCTCCTGTAAAGATTGAAACCTTGGAAACGCATTACCCAGGCTTTCCATGAGTCGGAACCGCCTCCACAGTGTACCATTACCTCCAACCACATCCGTCCAGGTAACCAAACTGTGGTCCGGTCCCTTAGTCGATAGGTCTTCTCATAAAGCCAGTCTATAATAGTCATTTTGAATCCTGAATCCTTTAGTCTACTCCTTTCTAGGCCCAGATTTTTCTTAAGGTACTTGGACCTGGAGGAGGAAACCAGTCTGGGTGTTGAATGAGGTTTCCTGTATGCAACATGGAGCGAGACTCCACTTCTGCTCTGCTGTCTCCTCCATCCACATTCCCTTCAATACTCACTCTCCCTATTAACTGTCCATCTTATAGACAGCACAGCACATCATCACCTCCTTTCTTTGTTGAGAGGTAATGGCTTCATGAAAAGGGAAATTGTATCCCAAACTAGATTACAAGCTCCCTGTGAACAGGAATCCTTTGTTTCCTGCATGCTACACCTACCAGGGTTCACTGTCTTCACTGCTGTGCACAGGGGATTCCGGCCTGAAGAATCTAGTTTATAGGAACAAAGGAACCCAAGTGTTTAGACCAATGGTTTCTTCTGCCTGTTTCTGGGGCTCTTTTTTGGGAACCATAAATATTCTACTGGAGGTACCATGTCCCTGGTTCTCTCCCCACCACCTCAGTCCTTACACACATCTAATGCCAGGCTTAGGAGCACAATTCTGTGCAGCTGCTGAATGGTTAATAAGCTTTAAGGACCCAGAAAAGGCTCAAGAAAAACACTCTCAGACCAGTCCCTTCCTCCAGAAGATGCACCAATGGGGGCAGGACTAGCCCGGGGTCAGAGAGCTGCACGCTGGCCAGCTTGGATGCAACTCTCCTGCCCAGCTCACCTCTGGGCCCACCACCTGTCCTGTGACACACACTCCCCCATCCTCAGGGGACATCCTACCTGGTCATCTCTTGGAAAGACTTCAAATGCCTTCAGCACCCCAAATAATGATTCTCCAAATAAGAATTATTATATCTAAGTCTAACCCCTATGGAATGTTCTTAGGGATGGGGGTCAAGCCTTATCTTTCCTTTCCTTTGCTCTCATGTCTCATCACAGGGCACCAAAGGAAAGTGTTGGCCTGGAGGCCCAGGAGAAATCTCAGGTCTTGGATATCCCACCTCAGCGCTCCCAATCAGCCTGTGGATGTGGGACCCTTACCGCCCACTGCGCCATGGCAAATTACTGCTATACTTCCAAAACTCAGGACCCAGGTCTGGCCGGAACCCACCCCAGCCCCACCCCTCACTGTGAGGAGCACACCTTGGTAACCAGACTGCTGTGTCCCGGAAGCGGGTTCCACCCAGGCTGAAAATCTCTGTGATCTGGAGAAGAATGAACATCATGGGTCAATGTGGTCAGTGAAGCTAAGGCAGGGCCAAGGCAAGGTGGGGCAGGGTTGGGTACTGCACAGCACTGACCACAGGTGTGCCAGCCCCTCCTGCCTCCTCCTCAGGGGCTGAGTCGGAAGGGGTGTCATCCCTGTTCTCCTCGGGGTCCGGTGGCTCCTGCTTCACAAGGTGCAGGACTGGGTCTACTGCCTGGTAGAAGTGAGAAACAGGCAACATTAGAGACGCAAGACTAGCTTGGAAAAAACGCCTCCCTCAGCCCAGGGCCCCTCCATCACAGTGAAACATACACATCTCTGCCCACAAATCACTCTCGTCACCATCCTTCAAAGACCTCCATTTATCTTAGTAGGCAGCCAAGTGGGCAAGGCTACTTTACGAGGATGGTAGGGTGTCCATCAGACACAAACCACCACCACAGCTCCCCACTGTACACAACATCAACAGAATACCAGCTGGACCCTCACCTTGCTGGGGCAGCCAGGCAACAATACAGGAGAAATCAGGACGGCTGTGCCCGGTGTCCAATCCTCCTGGGCATCTACCTTCTCTTGCTTCACCTATGGTGAGGCCACAACTCAGGCAGGGTACTGGCCTCTCACACTTGGGAGGACTGTTGGACTTGGCCCCAGCTTGTTGGAAAGAGGCTAGGTAGGGAGAAGGGGAAGAGAAGGCAGGGTGGGGGGAAGCTCACCTGTAACGGAGCTTCTGTGGAAAAGGTGGGGCCAGGCACAGGTACAGGTACAGGACTGCTTGCGCCCTCACGTAGGAACACAAGGTCAGTGCCAGGTGGGGGCAACACAAAGCCACTGCCTGTCTCCTGTTTCATCAAAGCCTGAGCATGGCCTGATCGGACTATGGGCATGGCCAAGGGAGACTTCAGAGTGGGCCCCAGATGGGACCGGCGGGTTGAAACAGGCTTCCTGTGACGATGGTAGGGTGAGGGCAGCTCTGCTCCACCTTCAGAGTCTGCCCACACACTGGGCAGGAGCCGCTTCTACAAAGAAAGATTCTGGTCACGCCCACCCTGCCCGGCTCAGGGTGCCAGCTGAATCCCCGTTCATTCCAGCACAGCGTCAGCTGATATCCAAGCCCCTCAAGAGTGAGCCTGCTAGTCATATGTTTAGTGCTACCAGTGCCCCCTCGACCCCATTTGCCCCACACCTGCCTACCCCACTGAAGATGCAGGAACCATCTGGCTTGGTCCACACACCTACAAGGCAAGCCCACCAGCTCCTGCTCCACCCACCATAGCAAACTGCAGGCACTGGCGCCAACGGCACTTCTGGCGCTTCTGGTTGCTGCCTCCAAATTTGGGCTTGTCGCAGCAGAAATCACAGCGGCCACAGTCTGTCCGCCGTAGGCAGGCTGCACAGGACCCGCATTTCCGGTTCTGCCGCCGGTTGGTGTAAGGCTGCTGGAGAAAGCAGTGGGGCTGTCATTGTGCAGAGGAGAGGACACGCTCAGCATCCAGTCACAGTGCTGTTCCTGTTGTTCCTTCGTTACCCACAGGAGGAAGCAGTCAGATCCCAGCCTCAGCCTCCTGACTCCCCACCAGTCACAGTGCAGCATCTATGAGTCCAACACAGCCACCAGGACTGTGTTGCCAGCCCTCGATATCATTGGTGCCGTGGCTACTCTGCCAACACGAGTGCCCATCGCTCTGTCTGCCAGTCGCCCACTACCTCCTAGGAAGATGTCCAGGAGGATTCTGCTGTCCCTCTGCGTTCCCATCACTGCTCGTTCTCCATGACCCCGAGTCGCGGCGCATGCTGCTCCCATCAGTGCCATCACTGGGTCTGCGAGTCCTGCATCAGCCCAGTGTCGGCTCATCTGCCCTGTGTCTGCCGAGCCTCTACTAGAGCCGCTCGCGCTCTGCTCACTCCACACAAGCCTGTGTCGCTGTGCCTTGCTGGGCCCCAATTAGACTTCTCTGGGGCTACCCAAGTCCCCTGGAAGAGTCTAGGCTTATCGTGTCCAGGTTGGGGGGGGGCCACTCACTAGCTCGTCCTCGTCTACACAGTAATAGATGAACTCAGCAGGTGGCGAGGGGGCCAGGGCTCTGGGGTGCTGCAGAGGCAAATGGGGCAGGAGTCAGGGTCTGTACTGAGTGTGACTAAGGGTGAGCCTTTCCCCTAACCCTGAGGGCCTCACCAGCTCTGTGGGCTCTGGAGACTGCAAAAGGGGTGTTGGAGGCAACTGCTGGACTTGGGGGCGCCGCCTGGATGCCATTTTGGAATCGCAGCCTCCTCGGCGGCGGCCAAGTTTGCCCTAGAAGAGAATTGAAGAGAGTGGCTTCAGCTTGACAGCACCAGACAGATACAAAAGTCCTGGGAGCGCAGAAAGCATGCAGAGGGCAGTGGGCAGAGTGTAGAGCAGGACACTCACAGCAGTGGGGGCCACAGCCAGGGGGGCACGTCGTTGACATCGTTGATGATGACGCCGAAGGCGGTGGGCCAGGTGCTAGCAGAAAGGGATAGGTAGGTAGGCCCAGGGAGGTGAATGTGGGGTGGGGGAAGAAAAGGGAGACATGAGGTGGGCCAGGCCAGATAGAGGAAGCAGCAGCAGTAGCAGCAGTAGCTTTAATAGAAACTAAGCTCTGTCCCATGCCCAGGCCCACATCCAGCCCCATGGGCCAAACTCACCCGCAGGCAGCGTCGCTGGACACACTTCCACTGACGTTGGAGGCCTGGGCGGGGTGGGCGGAGGCAGACTCGGCAGCGGCCACAGTCTTCTCGGGTCTGACAGCCTCGGCACACTCCACACCCTCGGCTCTGTGGGTTGGGCCACAGGCATGACAGATGGGGCAGGGGCATGAGGGTCAGCCTCAGACCCACCCCAGCTGACTACGCTCAACTCACCCTTTCCACAATCCGAAGGCAGCGTCTCCGCTCACACTTGCACAACAGCCCGGAGGCCACATCATGGGGCAGCTGCAGGATGCAGGTGGAGCAGGCCCCACAGTCCTCAGTCACCTGGCAGGCCGTGCACTCCCCGCAGCCCACACGCTGCCAGGAAAGGGGATGGAGTGCGAGGGCATGGATCCAGGCAGGTTGTCGCTGGAGCACTGTCCCCTCCCCCATGTCTGCTGACCCCACTTCTGCCTCTAACAGCATGCCTGTTCATCCCCCAATAGCCTCATCACTGACTCTGATCCTAACTGACTAGCCTCCATCACTGAGGCCAACATGGAGCCTGCTGACAGCCCATTACTTGCATTGTTCTGTCTGCTGACCCACACACAGCTACTTTCCTAGAAAATGACCAACACACTGGGGAGCCATCACCATTCCTTCGGACCCACATCTTGGTCCCACCACGGGCTTGTGAGAAGGCTTATCATGCTTACTTTAAACATTCTCTGCTCTCGGTTGAAGGCAATTCTCTGCGCTGGGGGGAGAAAGAGGAAGGAAGAGAAGTAGAAAAGGAGCCATCAAATACCTGACCTCGCCAGACCCATTCCTCTGCCTCCACTCGACTCCCACATTCAACTCTACCCCAGGCTGAGACTTCAACATTCAACCTCTAAACACGCCAGCAACCCCTGTCCTGAGAGCCACCACTCAGCCTCCACCCTCGCCTAACACTGGGTCTACCCCAGCTTCGGTTCCCCAGAGCCCACGCTCTGGGGGCTGCTCGCCTCGGCAGTCCTTGCATAATGTCTTGAGTCGCTGCCTCCTGGTAACATCTACTGAGAAGTTGATTCCACAGTTCTCGCAGCACCTGGGATAGGAAAGATGGGTATGGGGCTCTCAGTGTGCCCCAACCACATACCCTAGTGCTTGGCTCATCCCAGGCCAACACTCACCCAGATGCAAGGAAAGACGCTGGGGCTGTGTCAGTGTCAGTGTCAGCCTTGGTCTCATCGCCTGGGGTCTCATTCTGAACCTCCTCCCTACATGGTTCAACCTGACAGTGCTGAGTTTTGACAGGCCTTGCAGGCTTCTTCCGCTTTCTGCCAGGGCCAGCCAAAGCGTGCGTCTAGAGATGGAAATGAGAGCAGAGAAATGTAGCTCAGTGGGTGGGGAGGTGGCTGTCACAACCACCCAAGTGGCCACTCCACATCATGGAAGTACCTTGGGGTTTGGATAGCATAGGACACCTTGCTTGAAGTTAAAGAGGGTGAGGTCACACGCGGGGCCCAGGTATCGGGTCAGCTCAACTTTGCTTCGGATCCGGTCTCCTGTGGGGCTGTGGTGGACCAGGAAGGGTTGGCACCCAAAGTGACCCACTGCCACTCCGCCCACACAACCCTCCCACAGGGCTGATAAACAGACCTGCAGGGCTGATGAAATACAGGAGGCAACCTAGGACCTGTGAACCCCACCCAGGTCCAGCTTGAAACAACTCTGAAGAGTATGAACATGAGATTCAAATATAGATAAAGAGCATGGATACAAACACTAACAAGCAGTTTAAGTGGCTATGAATACATAGGTAACCCCCGACTCACACAATGAATTGCACTTACAATCATCCTTTTGTTTTTCTATACACTTTATTGTGAGTAATATGTACTAATTACAATGGTGCAGCATGGAATTTGCAGATGTTTAGTGTATGGAACACTGCATATTCCTGGGAGGAAGTTAGGGAAAATGCACGCAAAGGATATGGAAAAAAATTGCTAAGTTATGTGAACATGCTCCAAGCATTTGATCAGGATACTAGATAGAAGAGATTAGTGGGAAAACTGTCCATATGGCAAGAACACTGAATTTAGAATTTAGTATCACCAATGTGGAAAACAGTTCATAAATTACAAAAAAAAAGGGGCATTGACAGATCAGAACTCAATGGATTTTGAAGAGAAAAGAAATACTATAGAAAAAAGAAAGAAAATAAGATGAAGGGAAGACATCAAAAACATTTTACAGTGAAAAGAATTAGCTAGAATTTTTTTCTAAACTAAGTTGGGCTTCAGTTGCTTGGGAACATGGACTTAAACACTGATTGCTTTGCTGAAGTTGATAGGCAGATTTGGGAAGCAGTGAGGTGTACTAAAGAGAAAAAGAGAAGGACCATACAGACAACTCTCACTAATTTTCTGACTAGAAATGCCACCACTATTCGCAGAGATAATCCAGATGATACAGAACCTTCCACAAGTGCAGTTATTACTTCACCAGACAACAGGTCAATGTCATCCAACTCTTCTTCATAGCAGAGTAAATTTTTAACTTGTATGTTTTTAAATGTATCTATATATTAAAATATACCTGTAAAATTCAACGTTTCCACACCCCAAAGACAGATTCAAATGATAAAGACACTGACAATAATACTTGATAATAATTAATAATAAAAAAAAGGATTCAACTTGTCAGAACCAACTTGTAGCACAGTTGTTGGAACAGAACCCCATCGTTAAGTCAGGTACTACTTGTATTTACAATGCATAACACATCATGGGGTGACATAAATAGCTGCATAAATGCTAAATAACACATAAACATGCTAGCAACACAATACTTTTTTGTATCATTTCAAGCATATCTGTATACCTTCGGAATGTCAGTTAGGACCTCCTTCAAGAGCAAAGAAAGGGAAGGCACAGTCACAACTAATATTATAAAAGATTTGATTCCTCACTCTCAGGGTTTCCTGATCACAAAACCCAGTGCCTGTACATTTAACTCTCTTCATGTCACCTGTGGCATGAGGAGAGCTAGCACAAAAACGATATTCTGTGTACTGCTACAGCTGTGAATAGTGAACGATCTCGAATTCCTGGACCAGGAATGTCACATCTTCTAATAGCATCCACGGAATCCTGGGGCAGTGTTGTGGGTTAATGCATCAGACTGCAAAGTCGTCTGAACTACAAGGTCGGTGGTTCAAGTTCATCAGTTGCTCCACGGAAACCGTATACAGGGTTGCTACGGGTTGGAACCGACTCGAAGGCACTAAACAACAACATTAGCATCCACAGACTCTTACCTGCTCACATGTTTTACCCATTAGAGTAAAATCTGAGGCCTTTCTGTTAGGAAGAGTCTATCTCACCTGGACACTCTGATCAGAGCCGTGGTCCTGGAATATACTCTGATGATGAAGGCTAGGTACTAAACCTCCCTCGGCTCCAGTTTTTTCTTTTCTGTCATTACCTGGGGAAGTCCTTTCTTTTCTGGACACACAACCAACCATCTTCATATTGCTTAAGTATGTGTATCAGGTGGCACCTGGCCAACCCTCAAGCCATTTTAGTGCCTGAAATGGAGGGCCACCCCCCATCTGGCAGTTTGTGACACTATGGTACCTTGCATGTTGCTGTGATACTGGTAGCTATGCCACTAGTATTTCAGATACCAGGGATGTCACAAACTGACGCTGGTGGTCAGGTTTCAGCTGAGCTTCTAGGCTCAGACAGACTAGGTTAAGAAAAAAAGCCTGGAGATCTACTTCTGAAAATGTCATTAGCCAGTGAAAACCCTATGGGTCACACCAGAATACTATCTGATACAGTGTTTGTTACATGAGGCTCCTGGGTTGGAATGGACTCAAAATCACAGTGGCAGATGACAATAGTAAAGATGATCCAAAAGCAGGCAACGTTTCCTTCTCTTGCATATGGGGCCGCCAGGAGTCAGCGCCAACTCAATGGCAACAAACAACAACTGGGGAGGGGATTAAATCCTTTGTCTGCAGCATGGAAGAGGGATATGTACAGATTACCAACTCTGTGTTGGTTGTAGAGTGACCACTAGCCATGGGAGAACAATGCCCACATGTAGAAATGATCACTATCTGTGTCTTCTCTATGGGAGAAAAGCATTATTCCAACCATTGCCTGTGGTGAGTCAGGTCTTTCTTGGTGAACTTAGAACTTGATGCAACACTTTCATAGTTTCTAACAATCTCATTTATGCTTATTATTATTATTTTTGAAAGTTAATTTTTGTGTTGTTAATTGCTGTCAAAGTCAATTTCAACTCATGGCAATCCCATTATGTATTCCATACAGTTTTCAAGGCTGTGATTTTTTGGTAACAGATAATCAGGCTGATTCTTCTGAGGCACCTCTGGGCAGGTTCAAACCATCAACCTTTTGGCTAGTAATCAAGGGCTTAACCATATGTATGTTGTTGTTGTTGTTATGTGCCATTCACTCAGCAACCCTACAAGACAAAGAAGAAATGCCTCAAAGGGTTTCCTGGGAAGTAATCTTTACAGGACCAAAGTGTCAGGCTTTCCTCCCATGGTGCAACTGGTAGGTTTGAATCACTGGTCTTTTCAGTTTTCAGCTGAGCACCACCGGTGAGTCAAAAATTATCCACATTCTGGCTGTAGGATTTATTTTAATTAACTTTTAGAAATGCCAAATACATCACTTTGTAACAATCACCTTTCTTTTTAGTACACTTTGTCCATCTGTCAACAAGCTTTCATATTCCCTTCTTAAAAAATGTTTTAGGCTGAGCTGCAAGCCATGAATGCACCACTGTCTTCACTTCATAAGAAGTGAATCTTCATCTTCAAAGGGCTGTTTTCAGGGCATCAGACAGGTGAAAGTTCAATGGAGCAAGATCAGGACTACAGAGAGGAGACTTAACACCTCAGAACGAAGTTTTTGCAGAGTGTCAACAGTGTGGACAGAGGTGCACGGACATGCATTGTCATGCATGGTCACAATACCCTTGGATAGCAGTTCTCTGCATTTAATCCAAAGTTTAGGTTTTAGCTCTTCAGCAAGCGTCTCACTGAAACATGCACTGTTGATTGTTGAACGTTTTTCCTGATAGTGTTCTAATACTGGCCCTTGAGAAGACCAGAAAACTGTAAGCATCAATTTTCCAGCTGATGGTTGACTTTTGAACCTTTTCTTGGTCAGTTTCCTGAGAGTAAATTCAGAGAATGGAATGTAAATAGCCTTAATTGCCATCCAATAAAAAGTTCAAGTCAACTATCAGCTGGAAAATTGAGGCTCACAGTTTTCTGGGATTCTCAAGGACCAGTACTGGAAAACTATCAGGAGAAAGGTTCAGCAATCAACAGTGCTCATTACAGTGAGATGTTCACTTAAGAGCTGACGCCTAAATTTTGGATTACACACAGAGGACTGCTATCCAAAGGTGTTGTGATCTTGCTTGACAATGCATGTCCACAAACCTCTGTTCACACTGTTGACACTCTACAAAAACTTCCTTTTGAGGTGTTAAATCATCCTCCCTATACTCCTATCCTTACTCCATCAGACTTTCACCTGTTCGGTGCCCTAAAAATAGCCCTTGGAGGAAGATGCACCTCTGATGAAGAAGTACGACAGTGGTGCATTCATGGCTCAGAGCTCAGCCTGAAACATTTTTAAGAGAACAGGAAAGCTTGTATACAGACTGAAAAAGTGTACTGAAAAGCAAGGAGATTGTATTGCAAAATGATGTTTTTGTCATTTCTAAAAGTTGATTAAAATAAATCCTACAGCCAGAGTGTGGATAATTTTTGACTCGCCTTCATATAAACATGAATCAGTGTACAATTAAATACACCTATGTACAAAGACAAATATATGTTTACATAAAATTATATCAATATAGATAAATTACATTTGTAATCTTATATTTCTTTAGGAAACTTGCGACTTGCAAAAAGACTCAAAAAGTGTAAAAACTTTATTATCTATGTCATGAATTCACCCTAAGACACTGTATACGATCATGTTTATCAACTTTTAAACCTGTGCGTATACATGTTTGTATTTAATTCTAACCTCACTTACACCACCCCTCTGATTCCACCCCACTACTAACAAAGTTCAGTCCCATCCTTGACGCTGTTCACAACCCACCCAGTACCTCTGGTAATAAGTGTCTGAGCGTCCACAGGTAGCACCTGACTTGCGAAAGACCTCTCGGCGCTTCCAGCCAGGGCCCAGGGCTGGGCAGTCCAGCCAGTTCTCAGCCATCGGGGCCACAAGAAGGGACAGCAGCCTGCCAGGTAAGGTGGGGGAAATGGGTAACTGAGACACTGGGCCCCAGGCCACACACAACGCCGGAATTCACTAGTGCTTGTTCAGGACCTGCCACAGGCAACCATTCCATCCACAGAGAGAAAATAAACCCTGCTCCTGCCTTGCTCTTTCCTGCCCAGGGTCTAGGAGTTCTCTCTCTGTCCCAATCTTGATCTCGTAGCTTCCACTGCCCCCCACCCTTGACTCAAGGACCCCCATTCCTCTTTGTGTTGTGATCTTCTGTTTCTTCCTACTCCTAACCTAAGTGCCCATCATTATTCCCTACTGCCAACCAAAGAACTTTTCAATCTTTTCCCTCACTTACTCTTCATTCTTCCCTGCCTTGACCTAGAAGATACTCAAGGTATTTCACCTAAGGTTTCACTCATCATGCCCATCTTCAGCCAAGGGTACCCCCATTCCTCTCATACTGATAAAGATCCCATAGCACTTCACTTCAGTTTGCTGACCACCCATACTTCTCCGCTGCCCACCAACAGTCCTCCATTTCTGCTCTTCGTTGTTTTAACTCTACCGTTCCTCCTCCCCTTTACCTGACGTCCTCTAATTCGGCAACCTCAGTATTTGTTACGACTTTTAGCGTGACTCCTTCATATCCTCTCTCAGCATGGAAGTCTCCCAATCCTCAGCCCCAGAGTGCCCCCCACCGCCCCATTACTTTTCTCACCTAATCTCAGCCAGAAAAATCACCGGACTCCTCTCCTCTCCAGCTCACCCTCTTTCTCTCCCCAGCATTCGGGAACTCCTCCCACATTCCTGTCTCTTCTCATCTAGAGACCCTGTCAGCGTCTGACCCCCTAGTCCTCCTCATCCTCTCTAGGAGCAGCCCCCGCTTCCCTTTCAAGCATGCCAACGCCTCCATTTCTCTCCGTCATCGGCCTAAAGGCCCCTCATTCCTCCACTTCAGCGTTCTGAAACCCCGTTCCTCTCCGTCCTCGCCCATGATCCTGACACTCCTGTTAAAGAGTTCCACGCTCCATTCCTTCCGTCCTGCTTCTCAATAACCCCCCTCTTCCCTTTCAGCATCCCGACGCCGCCATTCCTTCCTCTCATCCGTCTGAGGGCCCTTCATTCCTCCCGTCAGCCTTCTGAGACCCAATTTCTCTCCATCCAACGCCTGGGTGCTCCCTATTTCCACTCCTACGGCTGTCTCACCAGCTCAGCGACGGGTCGGTAGCTTCCGCCGCTCTAAACCCGCGAGCCCATAGCGTAGGGCCCGGTTGCACCTTCTGCTTCGTCCTACTCTTCCTCCTCCGCAGCCTCCTCTGAAGCGGTAGCTGTCGCCGCCGCAGCCGTTCGTTGCTTCCGGAAGCGGAAATCCGCTGCCTGCTTCTTGGGCACCGCCCCTGAAAAGACGCCTGCGTACTCATGCCCTGACAGCGCGTGCCCTTAGTGGGGAAGTTCCCGCGTCTGCGTGCTGCTAGTCCCAAAAACTGCGCGCGCAAGTTGCGAACCTACTGCGCCTGCGTGCTGGTATCCAAACGCTGCTCACTATCCCAATGGGGAAATCACAGGCGCTATCCGCTGTCTGGTTCCAAACTGAGGGGGGAGCGGAGAACCGGGGTTACGCCTGCGTGCTTCATCCCTTCCTGAAGGCCCGGGCAGGGAAGGCAAATACAGGATGCGCCTGCGCACTCCCCTCCTCTAGCGGCAGGAAATTCTCCCTCCGTAGGACCGTAGACCCTCTCGCCTAGGTTTCTCTTATTTCGTCTGCAGGTGTGCGCCGGAAGGTTGTTAGGGGCTGCGCAGGCGCCCTCCACTATCACCTCTCGCTTGAGTCTCACCTGTGCTCTCCACTGCTCCTCCGTCCACCTGCCCAATGGTCTTTGTGTCCCACTCCTACCATCGTGGGAACCAGAGGCCCCACCTCCTTCCTTCCGTGGGAACTGGGGCTGGGGGCGGTGCCACGATGCAGGTAAACAGTGAGCATGGCAGTATGACTGGGCGGGGGCATGTCCACTCCCCAAAGACCCTGCTAGGGGTTCACTACACCTTACAACTGGAGGAGGCAGTGATGAGATTCCAGAGGCGGGGGGGTGTTGGAGTGGGGGTTCCTGCTGTATATAGTCTCCAAGAGAAAGAGGGGGCTTGAATACTGAATACACCTCTGGTTTGGATTATATATTAATACTCAGTCAGGAGGGAACAGTCGCTGGAGAAGGATGTCGTGCTGGGTAAGATGGAGGGTCAGAGAAAAAGAGGAAGACCCCCAACGAGATGGATCATCATTGATGGCGTCAAGTGTGGCAGCAATAGTGAGGTTGGCCCAGAATGGGACATTGTTTCATTCTGCTGTGCATGGGGTCACTATGAGTCGGTTCCAACTCGATGGCACCTGACAACAACAATGTGAGCACCAGACTGAGAACCACAAGGCCAGCAGTTCGAACCCACTAGCCACTTGTCGTGAGAAAGGTTTTCTGCTTCTTGGGAACCCTATTACAGGGTCAGCTGAGAACCTTGGCCTCTCCCTTGTCAAGTCACATCTTCAGATCTCAAGGGAGGCCTGCAGAGCACAGGTGGGTGCCAACTGCAGCTCCTCCTAAATACAGCTGTGTCAAGGCCATATTCCCATAGGTGCGGGCACAGATACTGCCAAAGAGAGAAGGTGGGAGGCCATCCGGAATTGTCTTCTTTGTTTTTTCCAAATTTTATTAACAAAACCAAGGGGCGGGAGTGACAACTTACTCTATGGTCCAATCCAGGCACAGAGGCTGGAGAGACAGACAGGGACGCGGGGACATTCTGAGACCCCTCTGATGGGTGGTCAAATGGTGGATGGCCACAGGAAGAAATGGGGTCCCTCAGAGAAACAGCTGACTGGAGGAACACACACATTGATGACTCAGGGTGGTACCCCTGCCTGGAATGCAGGGCTGTGAGAGGTCCTGGACAGGTGCGGCTCAGCGGTCAGCACTGGATCGCAGATCAGTCGTGAGTGGGTCATGCTGGATCGTTTGGTGCAGCATCAGGGCCAGTAACCCTGCCCGGTTTGTCATGGCTGCCCGGACATTGCGCTCCTGCTCAAACAGCTCGTCTAGTTTGTACCACTGCCAGGAACAGATGGGACGGTGAGAAGGGGTTCCTGAAGCCCAGCCAGCCTGCCCTGGGTCACATCCAGCAAAAACCTACCACACGCACACGCTCCAAGTCCACTTCAGCACGCCGCAACTTCTCCCAGCAGTAGTGACGATTGCACTGGCGCTTGGGTAGACGACAGAAGTCACCTGTGAGCTCAAACACATCTCGTACAAGGGGGCACCCACATACCTCATCGGCTGGCACCTGCAGGGAGAAAGGGTGAGGATGCATGGACGGTGGAGAGGCAAGGAGGCCGTCAGGAAAGAGGGATGGTCAAAGAGAGAGGAAGGAAAAAATGAGATCAGGCAGGAAATAGGGAAGAGTGGAGAGGCAGGGAAAAAGGGAGAGATGGAAGGGTGAAGAAGCAGAGAAAACAAAGAATGTAAGACGATCACAAGGGGTGCTGTTCAGGCAGGAGAAAATGAGCAGTCAAGCAAGAAGGTGAATGTGTATGTGTGGGGGGGAGGGTGGAGTAACAGGAAAACTGGGAGAAGATAGGGAGGAAGGTTAGAAACAGGAGGCACTGAGACAGAAAACAGGAGAGACCTGAAGGATTGAACAGGAGGAGGGAAAGGCAGGCAGACAAGAAAAAGGAAGGAGAGGGAGAGAGGTCAAACAGGAAAGGATGACTGTGTGGCAGGGGAAAAGGGCAGCCTGGGCAAGCTGAGAGGAAATCTTACTTTGGGATCCCGTGAGTGCTCTGGACATAGCACCTGGAGTCGTTTACAGTATGTTTTGCTCTGAGGATTGTAGACATCACAGAAGAGCCGAGTGGCCCTGGGAAATTAGGAGCAGAGAGAATGGTGAGGGAGTGGGGCTATTCCCAGCTAATCTTACCAACGCCACCCACATTCTACTACCGACCAAAACATTTGTTCCCTTCCTCTAGCTCCACATGGCGCCTACACTCACCCCTCGATGCGTGTGGGGTACATGGACCCAAAGGACGTCTGGCTCTCATACTGGAGAGAGGAGCACAAAAGGAAGATACTGGATGTGGCTGCATGCCCTCTCAGATGACACACCTGTCCCCTCAGGCCCCCTGATGTTCCCATACCATCCGCCCCTCAGACTGACACCCCAACCTTAGCATAGCAGCGCTCCATGTGGCGCAAGGCAACACGTGGGTTGATGGGGTGCCCACAGGAGACGCAGAAGATCTGCAGGTCTGTGTCGTCACTGTCACCCTCATTGCTCTGCATGGGAGGGAAGAAGCAATGAGACCGGGCAGGACCAGATGCTGGGCCACCCTGCTGCACCCTTACTTGCTCACCTCCTCGTCCTCACGCACAGCCTGCTGCTTGGCACGCAGAATGATGGCTTCCAACTCGTGGAATCGGCGCTCCATCTCCTGAAGGCGGGTGCGAGCACTCTGCTGCTCACGACGTATGCGTTCCAGCAGCTTCTTGCCATGCTCCTCAGCAATGCAGGGGCTCTGCTGCCACTGCTGGATGCGCTGGGGGAGGATCTCGTAGATGCGGCTGCAGGGAAGCAGTGAGTGGGGCACAAGCAAGGAAGGTGGCAAGTAACAAGATGCATATCGGTGATTAAAAGACGCCAAAACATGAGTGACTGAATGGTGCAAAGATAACGGGAGACTCAACAGTAGATGAAGGAGTAAAGGGATGAAGCATGGATGAGCCATTGATGGCTGAGTGAGTGTTTAGTTGACTGAATTGTGGACAGAGTATTGACTGGTAGACATAGAAATGACTGATCATGCCCATCCCTGCACTCCCTGACCCCCTGAAATGACTCACTTGGCTGCCAGCTTCATGCCGCAGTCCTCTGAGCAATACTTGGAGCTGGGCTGGGCGGGGCGCACACAGCCTGGCCCCAGGCACTGCGGCAGT